AGGAAGAAACTGATAGCGGTAAGGAGCAGGATACAGTGATGGATGTAGAGGAACTTGATAATTCTACTATGGCCTGCCCGACTTCACCTTTTTCTCACACAGGAAGTGAGGTGGGTAAGGCTAGCAAGAAGGATCATAGGGGGAGTTTGCCTCGTGAACAGGGGCATGTGACCAAGCCTGCCATGCAACAATGTTCCCTAGGTCCAAAGATAACGAACAAATGTGTTGAGGACTTTCCAACGGTGCCATCCACCATAGCCCAAGAAGCGGAGCGTGGGCAGCATCTCGAGCCAACTAATCAAGCTCTAGGGGGTTTCCTACCTCGACGACAGTGAAGGACACCATAGTCATGAAAATGGCTGCAGCTCCAACCAACCGACTAAAGAAGCCGCCGGATGAATTGCATAGACCGGTTGGGGGCCAAGAGGGACAGGCGGTATAAAAACCCTTGGGAAAATCGAAGGTGACAAACCCAGTGAAGCTTTTGGGGAAGTCCCATGTAAATGCCTCTCCCAATAATGCGTAACCCGAGCGTTTAGCTCTTCCTACTACCCCCATGTCTTTTACGATGTTAAAAGTCTTCACATGGAATTGTAGGGGTGCAGGAAGTAATCGTTTCCTTCGAGTGTTCAAAGAATATCGTCGTAAGCATCATCCGGGTATCGCTATCATAGTGGAACCGCGGATTAGTGGAGATAGAGCAGAAGAAGTGGTGAAGAAATTGGGTTTTGATAAATGGCATATAGTGGATGTTGTGGGCTTTGCTCGAGGTATATGGATGGCTTGGGATCCCTCGTTGATAACAGTAACAGAGGTGGACAGATCAAGTCAGTTTTTACATGTTCAGGTTCAAAGCGGTCGTGATTTTTGGTTCCTTACAACGGTGTATGCTGACCCAGCGTTGGTTCAAAGAAGAGAGCTATGGCAATCTATTCGGAATATTGCAGAAGAAATGGAGAAGCCTTGGCTTTTGGCGGGGGACTTCAACTCGATCTTGCATCCATCAGAAAAACTGGGGGGTACCCCCTTTAATGCAAGCCGCGCAGTGGACTTTCAAAATTGTGTTATGGATGCTGGTTTAGTGGATTTGGGGTTCGCAGGACCACCTTATACCTGGTTCTGGAATGGAATGAAAGAAAGATTGGATCGCAGTCTCATAAATTTGCTATGGTCATCCCAGTTCCCGAACACTTCTATTCGTCATCTCCCCAGGATTAAGAGTGATCACCGACCTATTCTTATTGATCTAGATCCGAGTTTTCATCCGGTGGGCCCGAAGCCGTTCAAATTTCTGGCTGCTTGGCTAACGCACGAAGATTTCAAAGACATGGCGGATCGCGGATGGAGGAGGGGAGTTGATTTGCTAAGCTCTATTAAGGAGTTCATTAGGGAAGCCACTGTCTGGAATAAGAACACCTTTGGCAACATTATTAGAAGGAAGAATGCCCTTCTTGCGAGAATAAAAAGGTTGGAGCTACAGCATAATGGTGGCTCCCAAGATAGTATGCTACAACAAGCTCGCGAAGAACTGGAAGAAGTCCTCCTACAGGAAGTGCTATTATGGTGCCAAAAATGGCGTCTTGAATGGATTATTTCAGGAGATAGAAATACTAAGTATTTCCATGCATGTACAATGAATCGACGGCGGCGAAATCGAATGATTGTGTTGAAAAATAGTGAGGGAGAGTGGATCGACGAGACGGCAGCCCTCTTGGAAATGGCCCAACGTTTTTTCTCTGAACTGTACACGGATGATGGAGGTCAAATTAAGGAAATTCTTGCAGGGTTCAGGGACATCCCGATGGATAAGTGGCTGGCGGTGGATGCTCAATTCTCGACGGAGGAGTTACTTTTTGCTGTGAAGTCAATGGGTGCCTTTAAAGCCCCAGGCAGAACCGGTCTAAAACCTCTCTTCTTTCAGCGGTGTTAGGACCTAGCGGGGCCTGCGGTCATGGAGTTTGCGCAATCATGTTGGCTGCACCCAGCTCATATAAAAGAAGTTAATGCCACTATTGTTGCTTTGATACTGAAGTTGAAGCAGCCAGTGTCGATCGACCAGTTCCGGCCGATCAGTCTATGCAACGTGACCTATAAAATGATCACGAAGTGCCTTGCGGAAAGAATTAAGACTATCATGCCGCAATTGATGCACGAGACGCAGACGAGCTTCGTCCCTGGACGGCACATTACTGATAATATTTGTATTTTGCAGGAAGTTATCCACTCGATGCGTGCTAAAAGGGGAAAGACAGGCTGGATGGTCCTCAAGATTGACCTAGCTAAGGCATACGACCGCATTAAATGGAGCTTCGTACATGACACTTTGGTCGCTCCCCTGAGTTTTATTAATCTCACGATGAGCTGTATTTCCACCTCGAGTATGCAGATTCAAAGGAATGGCGGCTTGACGGAGGCTTTTGAACCGTCGCGAGGGTTGCGGCAAGGCTGCCCCTTGTCTCCTTACATCTTCACTCTATGTATGGAGAGATTGGGACATCTGGTCAATGCAGCGGTGGAGGAGGGGAAATGGCGGGCGATTAAACTTTCAAGCCATGGACCAGCTCTCTCACACCTATTTTTTGCTGATGATCTAATCTTATTCAGTGTGGCCTCTTAGGAACAGGTCCAAGTCATTCTCCAGTGCCTTGAAGATTTTGGTGTAGCCTCTGGACAACAAGTTAGTCGCCTGAAATCGCGGGTCTTCTTCTCCAGAAATGTGTTGGAGGTCAATGGTGGTACTTTGAGCAATGCTCTCGACATCCCAGAGACCAAGAACCTCGGGCATTATTTGGGGGTCCCGGTTATCCACGACAGAGTCTCTAAAGCTACATATACAGACCTGATAGATCGGGTTGATGCGAAGCTTGCAAGCTGGAAGGCTAACACTCTATCTCTCGCAGCCAGGATAACCTTAACTCATTCCGTGCTTGCATCTCTGCCGGCCTACGTTATGCAAACAACGTTTTTGCCAGCAGCAGTCCGGGACTATATCGATAAGAAGATCAGAGGGTTCGTCTGGGGTAGTACAGAGCAAGGGAGGAAAATCCATTTGGTGGATTGGGATACTGTGTGCAAGCCGAAGGAGCAAGGAGGCCTGGGTCTCCGCAGTGCTACGAGGATGAACGAGGCTTTCATGATCAAGATCGCGTGGCGGCTATTCAAAAAAACATATAATCTCTGGGTCCGAGTTATCATGGGTAAGTATGTGTCCAGAACTGAAGATGGCTGGGTTCCGAGAACAGAAGGTAGAATATTGAACTTGTGGCGAGGGGTTCTACGGGTTGTTTATCTCATTTCGCAAGCGACGATGTGGTCGATCAATAGTAGAGCTCAAGCCAGGTTTGGGCGTGACTGCTGGCTGCAGGACGGGCCACCATTGGGGGACTATGCCGCCAATCTTCCCGAAGAAGCAGATCACCTAACAGTAGCGGAGCTAGTTCTTAATGGGAGCTGGAACCTTGAGTACCTTCGGACTTTCTTACCCAAAGACTGGGTGATGCAACTCCAGCTTCATCCTGTTCCACAGGATAACCACCCGGATGTTCCTCTCTGGAGATTCTCCCCGTCCGGAGCCTTTACACTGAAATCGTCGTACGAGCTAATGGGAGAGGAGATGGATGAAAGTGAATCTCACCCAGTGTGGAAAGCGGCATGAAAAATCCCCGGAACGCAACGGACGCGAGCTTTCTTCTGGTTAGTACTGCATAATAGGCTACTTACGAATGCTGAGAGATACCGGCGCCACTTAACGTCGAATGATAGATGCCCCATTTGCGGAAATGGCCCTGAGACTACTTTTCATGTGATACGAGACTTCTCGTACGCTAGAGCTGCGTGGGCACAGGTCCTTCAGGATGAGCCGGATAACACCTTCTTCGATTCAAATGTAAGCAGGTGGGCTCTTCACTATTTTTCGGGTCGCAGCACTAGGATCGACCCTACCTTCTTTGCGATTTTTTGCTAGACCTTGTGGAAGAATAGGAACTCCTGGATTTTTGAGAAAAAGCTGGCGTCAATAGCTGAGCTAGTGCAGAGAGTGGGGGAGCTTAGAAGGAAGGTGGATTTAGCTCTTCAAAGCTCGACGCGGGTGCTGGGAGAGGGTCAGGAGACGGCGGCCAGTTTGATCAGCTGGCAGCTCCCCCCGGCGGGCTGGGTTTGTTTAACCACTGACGGTTCGGTGATGGGAGCAAATGGCAGTGCGGCAGCAGGTGGAGTAGTGCGAGATAGCGCAGGAAGGTTTATACAGGCTTATGCAGCTAATCTTGGGGGTGGATCAATAACCCATGCTGAGCTCGCAGGAATAATGCATGGGCTGAGGATCACTTGGGAAGCAGGGTTTCGCCATGTTGTGGTTCAGACGGATTCTAAGACAGCCATTGACCTAATCCGAGCGGCCCTAGAGAGACATCCGCATAGCACCTTGGTCTCAGAGATTCGTCGCTGGCTGGGAAAAGATTGGGAGGTGCAGGTCGTGCCTGTTTGCAGAGAGGGTAATTTTGTTGCGGACTATTTAGCTTCTTTGGGCCACTCGTTGCCTACGGGCATCCACAGTTTCATTAACCCGAGCGCTACGCTCAGATATTGGCTTTACTTTGATGCCATTGGGGTCCAAACACCTCGTTTTATTAATGAATAAGGGTTAGGGTGCCTCCTTAACCCTGTTTCTCACCAAAAAAATATCCAAATCAGATACATCTTGACATTGGTCACTTGTATACACTAACGGGCCATCAATCGTTTGAAAATCACCACCATAACATATCTTCAAGTTAACTAGCACGTTACAAACTGGAATGCACCAAAATATAATTTATAATATGTTACTAATAACTTGTGAAATCATCATGGTTGTCATGCCGGTGGCATGCCACCCGGTTCAACCTGGTTCAACCTGTGTCAGTCATGAAACCGGCATGACACCACAGGTATGATCGACTTACACATTCTAATCAAAATGACATCACTTTAATGAATTTAATTAATAAAATAAATAATATATTATTCATTTTATAAATTTAATAGTTATAATATGATGATATTTGTTAGATTGTAACTAAATTGTCCATAAATATATTTTATATATGATTAAATACATTGGATATTAATTGTTTTCACATTTTTTTAAACCGGCATGAACCGGCACAAATTGGTTCTACCACCGGTCGTACCATTCCACTTGTCAAACCGGCACAACGGTATAAACTAGTTTGACAACCTTGAAAATCATCAAAAGGTTGTCAACCCGCGAGTTGACCCGAATTGACCCAGACCCGGAGGAAAAAATGGGTTGTGAACACCCGTTCAAGGATTAGCCAAGATTGGTCAAACCTGCTTCGACCCAGTCAAAATCTGGAGGACCCGGGCGGTTGGCCCGGCCAAAATGGGTACCAGGTTGTCCTTTGACGTCGTCGTGTTTGGTTTTTCCAATTCTGGTGCTCACTGTCCTTGAGCCATAGTTGAAGGAGATTTTCCCACATCTGCGCTTGACGGTTTGAGTGAGCTGGAGAACCACGTGGAGGAGGACTTCTGAGTGGTGGCCGACTTTCGGTCGTTGGGAGACAACAGGGGCAGAGGGGTTTGGAATCTGGAGAAGCAGGTCGGATGGCAGAGAGATAGTCGGCTTTGGAACTCGTTTTTTGCTTTGTTTGGGGGATTGAATGGGGTGAGTGGAAGAGCCGGGACCTGGAGTAGCCACTGGCGACCATGAGAGAAGCATTCTCAGCGGAGGAAGAAAAGAGGAATTTTGTTGAGAGGGGGTTGTACAGGGTCCGGGGAGATGGAAGGATGAGGCTTTACAATTTAGGATTTTTGCATTTGATGTGGCGTGTGGGTAGTTCTAGTTTTTTTTTTCTTCTCTTTCAATCATATGGTAAATTATCATATGGTACCTAAATTATCATATGGTATTTGTAAGTAAATTATATTTCAATCACTAGATTATCAAACTACTACAATACTTGTATGTATTCTTTAATATTCGGGCTAAGCCGGGCTAAAACGGGCGACCCATTAACTCATGACCCACTAGCTCGACCGGGTCCGGGTCGACCCGCGAGTTGACAACTTTGCATCAAATGATCAAAACTATGGAACCCAACTCTGAATTGTAAGGAAATAAAATCTGTACACAAGTTAAATAAGAAACTATGAAACTGTCACGAAGTACGTTAAAAAACACGGCATGCAATAGTTTTACTTTTAACATATATGAAATAGGAACATCCACATTTTTTTATAACCCTTGACAAATAGAAACATCCACATAAGATACACTATATACAGCTAATAATTCTAAATGAGATCAATTAATTTGAATTGTAAATTTTTTTCTTCGTCACTTTATCATGCAACGCATATACAGTCAAGAAACTAAATGAATCAATTCACATGAAACAGAAAAGGCATAGTGAAACTCACCTAGCTAGTGATGCTGTGATTTCCTCATCCATCGGGGGGTTTTGTGTTTAATGTCGAGGAGCGGGCTTAGACCGGGGGTTGTATCGTGATATTATTGGGGTCTCGGAACATCGGATGATTAATATGAGTGAGGGTGCTCAGTAGTCAGTGTTGAGAAGTTAGGCAAAAAATTTATTAGATACGTAGGTTTTAGTCGATCCTTTAAACTTAGGACCCCATACTCTTATTAATTTTAGCTATACTTAAGAACCCCAATCAACTCAAACTCTATTAAAGGCATAGATTTTCGCATTATAAATTTTTAGGACCCTAGTTAACTTGAAGTCCGGCTACGTCACTGTCCGTAGCGCCCGTCTATTTACACACACACAAAAAAAAAAAGATTAAATCCTAGCAGGACACTGGACAGAATAAATAGCAAAGGAAGAAACTGTCTCGCATGAAGAAGGAGGGCCGAAAGAGCTACTTTCACTCTTTATCGCGGGAAGGCAGATACAAGAGAGACAGAGATTGGCTGCAAAAAGAGCCTCCTAATTTTGGTTGCAACCATTCTTTTTTGTTTAGAGTAAAACGAAAAGTGGTCTTTCTTAGTCTTAACATCGTTAGTCTTTCTTAGTCTTAAATCCTGACTTTTTTATATGTTCAAGAATAATTGGTTGTTTCACAATGTTCAGTCCATTAATTCCTGATCATGAGTGTGTTCATTGTAATGAGACCAAAATATCTCAATGTTCGTTAATAGACAGTTCTACGGTTTATTCTAAGGTATTTGATTTGGTTCACACAGACTTATAGGAGCCCTCTCTGATGACGTCTCGTATGGGATTTTGATATTTTTCTCCTTATGGATCATGTCACGCCGTATACGTGGGTTTATTTCTTGAAGCAGAAGTCTGGCTTGTTCTCTATGTCTCTAGAATTTATCAAGATGGTGTCCACGCAGTCTTGTAAGGTCATTAAGATACTCAGATCTGATCCTGGAGGGGAGTTTTCCTCCACACCATTACACGACTTATTTCGTCAACATGGGATACTTCCGCATCAGTCATGTTCATGGGTGTCTCGGCAAAATAGGTTGGTCGAGCGTAAGCATCGACACGTCCTCGAACTTAAGCGTGCTTTGTTGTTTTAGTCATATGTTCCCTCTGGTCTTGGGTTGCAGATGTCAATACAATTGTATACTTGATCAATCATCATATCACTTTGGTTCTTAACCAAAGCAGTCTGTATCAAGCTTTATATTCTCGAGTTCCTAACTATGGGTGGCTCCGAGTCTTTGGTTGTGTGTATTATATGCTACTTCCTCGTCGCGAGCGCAATAAGCTCTCTCCCGAGGCAACTAAGTGTGTTTTCGTGAGATATAGTGTGAAGCACAAGGGGTATGTGTGTTACGATATTGCTAATCGGAGGATTCGTATCTCGTCTCATGTTTTATTTTGGAACATAATGCATACTATGCATCAGAGGATCCTACCTTAAGTTTGCCGCTGGATTTTTTGTTGACTACCACCACATTTCCAGATGCTTCAGCGGACGTGGCAGATGCGGATCCACCCTCTCCTCCGCCTAGTGGCTCTTTATCTACGTCCAGTTCTTTTGCCTCGAGCTCTAGTCCTCTTACTTCCTCAACATCCTTGGACCTTTGTACTTCCTCTTGCTCTACTAATTCAGCAGGTGATGGCCTTTCCCCAAACAATGATGCCTGATGCTCTAAAACACAACACCAATCTGCGACCAAGTGTAATCGCAGACCGGGAATGCAGTAAAGTGACAAGTTATATTATCAACCCGGGGTCTAGATCTACTGCTTACTCAGTGATTCTCTATTATCTAGCCAACTAAGTTGAGTGTTTGTTGTGTAAAAGCAAAAGCAGAAAGAAAGCAGGAACTGATACGGTTTTCTCAAGCAGATAAGAGTCACTCGGGAATGAGTCCCCCTAGATCTTTAGTTAGGTTTCAATTGTATTTCCCTGGGTTGATTTACTGTTGATTAGACTGCGGAAGATCCGGCAGTAGCTTGGAATCTCTTAAGCTGAACAAGCCCTCTCAGTCTAACTACCTGGCAGACGACTAGTCTTCACCGGGATAGAAAGCTGAAGCAATAAGAACAGAACTCCACTACTGGAATTGGATTCCAGTACAAAGCAGTAAACTGGCTAACTCTCGTATAGCCAATCTCCTACTACCGAATGATGAGACTCTAGCAACCTAATCAGATTCTATCTATCTCAGCTTGCAGCAGGAATCAGGAAAAGTTGATCAGACTTCAATTGACTCAATACACATGCATCATTCGATTAAAATCAAACAGTAATATCATCCCAAGTCATTACAATCAATCCCTAACACATAGAACTAGGGTTCTTCATCCCCAAGTGAGAGAGGGGTTCTACTCCATAGAGAGAGAGAGAGGAAAACAAGGTACAAAGCAGTCATACTCATTACAATGGGAAGAATCTGCTCTGGGATGATGATTTCCACTCCTATGACGATCTCCAAGCTTGATTTGATGAAACCCAGCTCCAAGATAGCTTCTAGGATGTGTTCTTCGTACTTTCTCTCTATAGGGCTCTGTTTTTGCTCAAAAAGTCCGATCCCCTCTCTTTTGGCTCGAAATTGGCTGAAAAACCAAGATTTCCCGACTCACACTGGCAGGCCGCACGGTCGTGTGGCTCACCCGATTGCCCGTGTGAGTCAAAACGCGGTGTATCAATTAGTTTGATCTTCAGGCTTCCCACACGGCCAGGGTCGCACGACCGTGTGGGATTTCCATCCTGCCCGTGTTTGCTCTCGACGAAAACCACACGGCCACAAATGTGAGTTGCACGGCCGTGTGATGTCCAGGAATGCCCGTGCAACTTCCTTAGCACCTCGCCACGCGTCCGATCTTCGTCCAATCGACCCCCAAACTCGCTCCCAAGCCTCCATTCACGTACTAGGACCTGAAATATCACAAACAAGCACAACCTAACGTGAAATCGGCCTAAAACACGAGAATCAACACCTCAAACGGTGTAAGAACATGGGTAAAAACATGTGTAATTAACGGTCTATCAAACTCCCCCACACTTAACCGTTTGCTTGTCCCCAAGCAAACCAAGTCAGATACAAGGTAAGCTTACATATTTCAATCAACCAACATTGGGGACAAGTCATAAAGGCACAGAACACGTGAATCGTACTGGTTTTCAAACATCAATACATGACCAACTTCAATAGAAACCTGGACAACCACCACAAAGGACATTCGAGTACAGCAAAATCGAGTAAAGGAAGAGTCTCCCTTCTGTTCACCAACCAACCTAGACTTGACTCAACCACTTACTCAAAACAGTCAACTCATGCATCCTACTCAAGAATTCAGAATAGAGACCGAGCAATCTAGGTCCTCACCGGGGTACAAGAGTATATAGAATATGAAAATGAATCACTCACTCTCGACCAGTGGGGTCAGGACAATTTGATGCGAAAAATGCGCATGTTATTTCTCTCAATCCCTAACATCTCTTCACCATGATGGCAACCTCTAAATGCTAGAGTTCACATATGGGGTGTCACCACTAACTAATCAGGAGGTCTTAGACACAGGTTCAAATGACTGGCTAGGGTCTTGGACATGGGGAAAAAGCCTTTTAGGTGGTGGAAGTATTCATAGCACAAGGTTCCACATTTCGAAACCCACACAATCACAGTCAAACAAACTGGTATTTCCTTTCTGCTATTCTGCATTACTCAAGAGCACAAGAGCGAAGGAGGTATAAATGTCAACATTTCCAAGCCAGACTGCTAAAAAACACTACTTACTGGGCATTATTCAGATTTTTGGTAGTGGCTCTCTTTGCTTTCAATTTTTCTTTGTTCTTTCTTTCATTTTCTTTTCATTTCTTAAGAGAGCCACCACTTCTGCACATATTTCAAACACATGCCCAGTAGGGATGGCAAAAATATCCGTAACCATGGATATCCACCCGAATCAGGCCTAATCGGGTAGGGTAAAACCCGAACCCGAAGGACATTTAGTGGGTACGGGTAAAACCCGAACCCGAATATTGCGGGTAATGGGTGGTTATGGGTTTCTAACTATCCAACCCGAACCCGCCCGATTATACGCATGCATGTGTATTTTCTCTAGAAATAATTATTATTTTTCACTAACATATTTTATATTTAGCATATAAATATAATATTTTCATGAAATTGTGTTGTTTTAGTTAATTTTCTTCATTCTAGTGAACTATTGTCGTACTTTTCCTCTTACGTAATGTGAGAATACGTGTGAATGTTAACATATTGGTTGGAGTTATAAAGAGAAATTATTATCCATGAATAACCGTGGATACCCGAAACCCGAACGGGCATGGGCATGGTTTTATTTTTGTACCCGTTTCGCATGTGGGTATGGGTATGGGTAAAACCCGAACTACTTCGGGTAGGGTAACGGATATGCACTATCCGTCCCCGACCCGACCCATTGTCATCCCTAATGCCCAGCCCAACTTTTAAGCACTACCTCCAACAGTCACATCAAATTTAGCAAAAGCAGCAGAGAATATGTAAAAAACCACTCTGTGGAACCTTCTAAAAGATGCAAAGGGTGATTTTTTTTTCATTTCAGACCAAAAGAAAGGATAACACACGGCTCAAAAGGGCTGACTAGGGGATATGACACATCAGGACAGTCAAATTTGGTCGTGGGCTAATCCTATGCCCCCATCATCTTAGCTAGTGACAACGTGAATGCTACACATCATGGAAGAGGGATCTATCGCACAAGAAAGAAACGAGCAGGCTCAAATCTCACATGGCTACCTATATGCTCTATCTCACATTCTGATACCCTGAACTATATGCATAAGAGACTGTCAAGAACAAGTAATCAATCCAAGTCACAGTTGAAAAACGGAACCCCTACACAATTCTACTGCACGTCTCAGTCCTCATCATAGGTTGTCCTAGTCACAATCAAGCTGTCATGCATCAATCCGAAAACCATTCAATTCACCAATCAAAACACAGTGCCAATATGATCAAACAGCAGTACTTGGAGCCCTCAAATCATAAGATTCGGACTGCGGACTAGGCTCCAAGCACCCAAATATATATTCCAACCGATACAAAGCACCCCCCCACACTTAAGCACGACATTGCCCTCAATGGAGTAGAGGGAGAGATAAGGGGAACGATGTTACCGGATTGAAAATGCTGGGGGACTGGAAGTGGACCAGTCAGCGAGAAACCAACGGGAAGATGGACAGTTCTGCATGAATCGAACACCAAGAACACACTAGCACACGTTGTGTTAGGGATAAGTGTTAGCCCAGACGGCTACAGCAAAAACAATCCACAAAAGAAAAAAACAAAAACAAAAACAAACGACACTAAGTTCAAGCTCCTCACACATGGAGCAAACACGCAAAAGTCTAATACGGAAAACAAAAGACACTGAGATGGGCAACGAGTACAGCCTACTCGTCGCCAAGATCACCAAAGTCGATGTCGTCCATGAAGGCGTCATCACCAGCAGCACCATCATCACCATCCGCTGGGGGAGGTGGAAGTGGAGAGTCCTCCCAGGGAGTCCTCCAAACGGGCTGCTTGCCCGGTAGCAACTGGAGTAAATGCTGCTGGACCTCCTGCATGCGCCGTGAACGGCGCCTCTCTCGCTCGATGTGTGCGAGAGTCACTCCCTGCTGGGTCTGGATCTGGTCCAATCTCTCATCGTAAACAGCCATCCTCTGGTGGTACCCGGCCTGGTGAGCCGCGTACTGCTGCTGGAACTGCATCTGATGGTCGAGGATCTGCTGGTTCTGGAGACGCAGCTGCTCGAACTGGGAGGTGAAGTAATCCTGCCCCGGGAAAGCGGAGTTGCCACCTCCGTAATGGAAGTGAGTCTGTGGTGGATCAACAGCATCATCCACATCCTCGGGCTCCATATGATCAGCAGCCTCATCCTCCTGGCCCTCTGGATGGACCTCTGGCTGGTCCTCCTGCTTGTCCTCCACGGGGATCTGAGGTTCCGGAAACCCCTCGATCCATAGAATGTCGCGGTTCTCTCGCAGCAGGTGCATGTGCTTGATCGTCGACCTGCCAAAAACGATGGTGTCCCCCTGCTGTGTGCACCCCTGCAGGGAAAGGCCGAAGTAGGTGGCCAGGCGGGTGATGAGGGGGGTGCAGTGGAGACTCTTCAGTTCCGAAGCAGTCTTCTCGAAGGTCCTGGCCACCACCGAACCCAAGTGGAGGGGATGGTCGTCCTGGCGGATCGACTGGATGACGTACAGGGCCCTCTTAGTGATGGCGCTGGCACTGTCTGAAGCTGGAGTATAAGACTTCGCCAGCAGGTGGTGGAGAAGGCGGTTGTTGAGCTGCAGTGTAGTGGCCTTCGTCCTCCCGGCCGATAAGGGACGTGTCTGGCCTGGCCTAGCCAGGCGGGTGTACAGCCTCCTGAAGTCCACCTCTGATGGGTCGTTGACCTCGATGACGTAGTCCGCACCACCGTCGAGGTCGAGAGCCTCGGCCAGCTCGTGGTAGCTCATGGACCGTGGGGCACCGCCTAGCCTGAATTTGACGGCTGCACCGTCTCTCCAATCGTCTGTGGGTGTGTGCTTGAAGGTCGTGTAGAACTCAAGCACGGGCTCATAGTAAACCTTCTTGCAGATGGAGAGCAGACGGCGCCATGGGTGGTTGGTGACGGCGGCGGAGAGTTGCTCGTAGCAGTGCAATGTCCGAAACTCCCGTTTGGACCAGCAATGGTGCTGCCCAAACGGGCACTTCAGGACCTGCTTGAAGCAATCCTGGGCGGGCCCCCTCTTCAAATCCCGGATGAACGGGTGCTTGAGGTCAGGTTTCGACATTGTCCTGCAAAAGAACAACCCAAAGTGGAACCAAAAGAGCCAAAGAAAGGGCCAATTACACCCCCACACTTAAGAACTGAAAACAGCCGAGCCATGGTTTAATCCATAGTTCGGGGGTCAAAAACTCGATAAATCAAGCATAATCTGAGTGGGGGTGCACATTCACGATAAATTAGGCAACTTAAGGTTCACATCCATAGCAAACACACCCTCAAAGCACATCAATAAAAACCGGTGCCCACAACATAGCATGAAAAACAGGCATTTCATCGAACACCTTGTGTGCACTATTAAGGTAAGCATGAAATTGGCACAATTTTTGCACACAAGGGCTCAAACAATCAAGAGGGACTTTGCCCAACACAATTCAAACACACTCCATGCATTCCCCTCAATCAATTGCACAAAAATCACAAGATTCAATGAGGTTCTCTAAACATGCACCCTAACACCCAATTCTCCACAATTAACATAGTTAAAGGCAAAATCAAACCTGGAGACTCAAGTAGAGGTGTAGGGGATGATGAGGGGAAGGCGATGGATGAGACGAAACACCAAAAAAGTGACCGGAAGTGCTCGTCGGAGCCTCGCCGGAAATCGCCTCCGGCGACAAAAACGTCGGCCAAATCTCCTCAAAATGGAGGGATAGGCCGCTTTTGGTGTAGGAAGGGTGGGTTTGTTGTTGGTTTGGTGGAAAAATGACAAAAAATGGCCGAAAAAATCGAAAAGTGTGGTTTTGTCGCGGTTTTCCGGCGAGGAACAGAGGATTCCAGCGAGGATTTTTCAAATTTCTGACCACTCGGCCGTGCTGGCCGAATATATAGGCCGTGGTTCGGCCACACGGGCAGGCTCGCACGGCCGTGCGAGGTGCAAGTTTGCCCGTGTTGGCCAACACGGCCAGGCCGAGGAATTCCACACGGCCGTGCGAATTGCATTTTTGGCCGTATGGAATTTGTCGAGGGCTCACACGGCCAGGGAAAAAATTTCACACGGCCGTGCTAGCAGACGAGTTGCCCATGTCGGTCACACGGCCAGGCCAGGCCAATCCACACGGTCGTGCCAATTGCACTTTTGGCCGTGTGGAATTTGTCGAGGGCTCACACGGCCAGGGGATAAAATCCACACGGCCGTGCGAGATTATGGCCTGGCCGTGTGAGCTGCTGGAGCCCCGAATTCAACCTGTTTTCACCCAAAAACGACATTCGACTCTGGAACAACATCTCAAGACTCAAAAACACAAAAAAAAAAACAAAAGGAAAAATGTAAGAAAATGCAAACCTCAGTGGGGTTGCCTCCCCACAAGCGCTTCTTTACCGTCTTTTAGCTGGACGCCAATAGAGGAACTACAGGTCCTCGAGCTTGATCAGCAGCTCTGCGCGCTCGACAGCACCTCCCAAATACAACTTCAGGAGGTGTCCATTCACCTTGAATGGCTCGGTTTGAGCATTGCTGATCTCCACCGCACCATGCGGGAAAACCTGGGTGACCGTGAAGGGTCCCGACCACCTCGAACGGAGCTTTCCCGGGAAGAGTTTCAGGCGTGCATTAAAGAGCAGAACACGATCACCTACCTGAAACTCCTTCGGGCCCCTCAACCTTGCGTCGTGGAGACGCTTGGTGCGCTCTTTGTAGAGCAGGGTGTTCTCGTAGGCGTGGTAACGCCACTCCTCCAACTCCAGCAGCTGCAACTTACGTTCTGTACCTGCAACACTCAAATCCAGGTTTAGCAGCTTAATGGCCCAGAAGGCCTTGTGCTCTAGCTCTACCGGCAAATGGCATGCCTTCCCATTGACAAGCCTATAGGGAGAAGTGCCAATCGGATTTTTATAGGCAGTCCTATACGCCCAAAGAGCATCATCGAGCTTGGTGGACCAATCCTTGCGGGACTGATCCACCGTCTTTTCAATAATTCATTTTAGCTCCTGGTTCGTCAGCTTGGCCTGCCCATTTGATTGGGGATGGTAGGCCACCGACACCTGATGCTTAACACCATAGCGAGAGAGGAGTTTAGTGAATTGCCCTTGAAAATGGGTTCCTCTATCACTAATGATGGCGCGGGGTGTCCCGAACCGGGAGAACAGCTGCTTCAGAAATGAGCAGACCCGTCTTGCATCATTGGTGGGCATGGCTTGAGCTTCTGCCCACCTCGAGACGTAGTCCACTACAACCAATATGTACAGATGGCCAAAAGATGGAGGGAATGGGCCCATGAAATCGATACCCCAAACATCAAAAATTTCACAAATAACAGATATATGTTGGGGCATCTCATCCCGGGCAGAAATGTTACCTGACCTTTGGCAGCGGTCGCACTGTCGTGCGAAGGTGTCTGCATCCTTGAAGAGCGAGGGCCAATAGAAGCCCGACTGTAGCACCTTTCGCGCCGTGCGGTTTCCTCCATGGTGACCTCCAGTAGGTCCCTCGTGGCATTGAGACAGGATGTCTCCCATCTCATGCTCCATGACACAGCGCCTGATCACGCCATCTGCTCCGATTCTGAAGAGGTAAGGATCCTCCCAGAAGTAGTGCTTCAGATCGGAGAAGAACTTGCGCTTTGCATGAGTAGCCATCCCCTTGGGTAACTGCTTGCCCACCAGATAATTGGCAAAGTCAGAATACCAAGGGGCCACGCTATCCACCAGGGTCATCGCCAGCAATCGCTCACCCGGGAAGGAGTCGTCGATCTCTTCCTCGAAGTTGTCCACCGGAGGGGCTTCCAACCGTGAGAGATGATCTGCAGCAACATTCTCGGCTCCTTTCTTGTCCCAGATCTCGATATCAAACTCCTGCAGCAGCAGGATCCATCGGATGAGCCTAGGCTTAGCATCAGCCTTGCTCATTAGGTAGCGAATCGCCGAGTGGTCAGTGTAGACCACCACATGGGAGAGCACCAGATAGGGTCGGAACTTGTCAAATGCATACACCACAGCGAGGAGCTCCTTCTCTGTGGTGGTGTAATTCTCTTGTGCATCGTTCAAGGTCTTGGACGCGTAGTAGATGGGCTAGAAGTGCTTCTCGCGTCTCTGACCTAGAACTGCTCCGACTGCATAGTCACTTGCGCCGCACATCAGCTCAAAAAGGAGAGACCAGTCAGGAGTCACCATGATAGGTGCATGGGTAAGCTTCTCCTTCAAAGTCTCAAATGCAGCTGTGCACTCGGGAGTGAACTGAAATGGTGCATCCTTCTCTAGCAGCTTGGTCAAAGGCAGGGCAATCTTCGAGAAATGTTTGATGAAGCGCCGGTAGAAGCCTGCATGACCTAGAAAGCTGCGAATCCCCTTCACAGAAACAGGAGGCGGTAGCTGACTGATCGTCTCAATCTTCGCGCGATCCACCTCAATCCCCTGCTTGGAGATCTTGTGCCCGAGCACAATACCCTCACGAACCATAAAATGGCACTTCTCCCAGCTGAGTGCCAGATTAGTCTCCTCGCACCTCTTCAGAACGAGTTCCAGGTTATGGAGATAGTGAGTGAAGGAGTCTCCATATACCGAGAAATCATCCATGAAGACTTCCATGATCTCTCCAACCAGTCGGTCGAAGATCGCCAGCATGCATCTCTGGAAGGTCGCCGGTGCATTACACAGCCCAAATGGAATCCTCCGGTAAGCAAAGGTACCCAAGGGGCAAGTGAATGTGGTCTTCGCCTGATCCTCTGGTGCAATAGGAATCTGGAAGTAACCAGACATGCCATCCAAGAAGCAATAGAACTCATGGCCAGCCAACCTCTCCAGCATCTGATCAATGAAAGGTAGGGGAAAATGATCTTTCTTGGTGGTGTCATTCAGGCGCCGGTAATCGATGCAGACTCTCCAGCCGGTCACGGTCCGCATCGGGATCAACTCCTTCTTCTCATTCGGGACCACAGTCATCCCGCCTTTCTTTGGGACCACCTGAGTGGGGCTGACCCACTTGCTATAAGATATAGCAAAGATGATCCCTGCATCCATGAGCTTCACAATCTCTGCCCGGACCACTGCCTCCAAGTTAGGAGATTATCTCCTCTGTGGCTGCCTGACTGGCTTAACCTCATCCTCCATCAAAATTCTGTGGGACCAGAAGGATGGGCTAATGCCTCTGATGTCTGTGATCTTCCATGCCATGGCCCGGGCATACTTCTGCAGCAGAGCCACCAGCTTGCTCTTCTGCTCGGGTGTCAGATCCGAGCTAATAATAACCGGGAGCTTATTCCCCTCCTGGAGAAATGCATACTCCAGGTGAGATGGGAGGGGCTTAAGCTCCAACTCTGGTGGCTCCTCCAATGATGTAGCGAGCCGGGGCGAGATGGGGATCGGCTTGAATGGTATCTCTCGCCCCTCGATCGCAACCTCGTCCAGCTCTGCCAGCTGCTCCTCCAGCTGCACATCCTGTGATGCCTGTTTCCCTAGCAAAAGACAATGCTCAAGGAAATCATCAGTACCCGCACTCGTGATGGCGAGTGCGGTCTCAAAATCAGCAACAATATCACAGTAATCTAGATCATCATGGAGCTGGGGGTGTTTCATATTATCAGAAACAGAGAAGGTGATTTGTTCACCCCCAGCTCTCAAAATCAGTTTTCCATCATTAACATCAATAAGCGCCTTGGCAGTGGCGAGAAAAGGTCTACCCAGTATCAATGGCACATCAACATCCTCATTTATGTCCAAAATCACAAAATCAACAGGATATGAAAATGGCCCTACTGCGACTATCAAATCCTCTGCTATACCCCTAGGATGCACAATGGATCTATCAGCAAGCTGGATGCTCATCCTAGTATCACTGGGTTCACCTAGGCCTAGATTTTTAAACAGTTTATAAGGCATGACATTTATGCTAGTGCCTAAATCCGCCAAGGACTTCCCTACATGCAAACTACCAATCATGCAAGGGATAGTGAAACTCCCTGGGTCTTTTCGCTTCTCTGGTAGTTTGTTCTGCAGGATGGCAGAACACTCTTCGTTGAGCATCACCGTTGACAGCTCCCCAAGCTTCCTCTTGTTGGTGAGGAGATCCTTCATGAACTTGGCATACTTGGGCATCTTCGATAATGCCTCCATGAAGGGCATGCTAATGTTTACCTGCTTCAGCATTGCCATGAATTTGGCAAACTCAGTCTCCAGTCGGTCCTTGTGCAACCGAGTAGGAAAGGGAAGCTATGGTACATACTCCTTCACCACTGGTTGCGGTTTAGGAGCAGGCACCTCAACCTCCTTCTCCATTTCTTCCTGATTAGCTGGAAGTGCTAAAGCAGGGGTCTCTCTCTCCTCTGCCCGAACAGGTGGATCAGCAGTCACCTTGCCACTCCTGGTTGTGATGGCACTGCAGTTGGCATTCGGGTCTTGCGGGTGAGGGATGGTCTGACCAGGCAAGGTACCAGGAGTCCTCTGAGCTACAGCCTGGGCAACACTCCCAAGCTGGGTCTGTATATCCCGCAGCACAGCCTGTGTATTTCTCTGACCAGCTTCTAGCTCCAAGAATTTGCCTGAAGCTTTCTCCATGAATTGCTCGATGTTATTGAACTTGTTCGCACTGGAGGTGGCCAGAGAACCCACCAAATCTCTCAATTCCACCATCGAGTCACTCTGTACTGGAGCTGCAGGTGCTGCTCCTGTCTGCTGAAATGGTCGCACCTGTGACTGAGGTGGAACTGGCCCCTGTCTAGGCTGGTAGAGTGGCTGCTGTGGCTGCTGAAATTGCCCCTGTCTGGGCTGATATGGTGGCCTCTGGAAGCCCGGTGCTCCCTGGGGGACTGGTGGTCTGGAATTTGCCCCGCCCCAGGAGAAGTTAGGATGCTGGCGCCACCCCTCATTGCAGGTGTTACTGTAGGGGTCATTGCGCCTGACATTATTGATGAAGTTCACCTGCTCCTGGGGTGTGGTCGATTCCTTCATCGCCTGGCAGTCTTCCACTGTATGATGGGTGCTCTCGCACCACTGGCAGAGCATCGCCTGCTGCTGTCCGGTCCCTGGAATCATCCCGGAACGATCGATAGCTGAAACCAGCTTCGACACCACCTGCACCAAATCAGAGGAATGGTTCCCCACAGAATGTACACCTCGGCTTGGTGCTCTCCTCGACCTCCTCGCAGTGCCCCAATCATAGCCGTTCTCTGCCATCTCCTCAAAGAGTTTATTCAGCTGTGGCGGTGTTTTAGTCAGCATGTTCCCGCCACAAACTGAGTCAATCAGCTGCTTATCTTCTGGGAAGAGGGCATTATAGAAGGTTCCCACCTTGAAGTCATCGTTGAAACCATGATTGGGACACCTCAGGAAGAGACTGTTGTATCGCTCCCAAGCATCCCGGATAGTCTCATCTTCATCCTGGGTGAAGTGGGTGGTCTGCTTCTGCAAGTCCGCCGTCTTGGACGGAGGATGGTAGCGGGTAAGGAACTTGTCCGCCAGGTTGGCGAACGTGGTGATGGAGCCCGGAGGTCGAGTGTCTAGCCACTCCTTGGCCTGCCCCTCCAGGGTGAATGGGAAGTACCTCAGCTGGATGGCATCTGCTGGGACACCGTTGATCTTGATTCCATCGATGAGCTCGTGGAATCGCCTGAGATGTGATCGGGGGCACTCCCCCTCTTTGCCACGGAACACCACTGAACCGCGCAGCATGGTGATTACTGAGGTGCTCACCTCAAAATTATTGGCCGGGACATGAGGGTGTTGAATGGGTGACCTCATGTCTGCAGCCCTGGCGGTCCAGTAGGATCCCATGGTCTACTCCCCAGGATTGACCACATCATGGTCTTGTGGATCAGCCATCTCCTCCTCTTCAGTGATCTGTAGCTGTGCTAGCGCCTCTTCCGCAGCCAGTCGCGCCTTTAGAGCCTGCTTGAAGTTTCTGCAGGTTTGTTCAAACTCCTGGTCTAGTGGTAGTAGATCTCCCGACTGGCTACAGGTCATGCACTACCTGCACACAATCAGCAGAAGCAACCCGTGAAGGCACACAGGTGGAAGAGATAAAATGCAATAAAGAAAAAGCTAGAGTAACAAATTCTCACGTTTCCCCAATAACCTAGAGGGTTCCCCGGCAACGGCGCCAAAAACTTGATGCTCTAAAACACAACACCAATCTGCGACCAAGTGTAAACGCAGACCGGGAATGCAGTAAAGTGACAAGTTATATTATCAACCCGGGGTCTAGATCTACTGCTTACTCAGTGATTCTCTATTATCTAGCCAACTAAGTTGAGTGTTTGTTGTGTAAAAGCAAAAGCAGAAAGAAAGCAAGAATTGATACGGTTTTCTCAAGCAGATAAGAGTCACTCGGGAATGAGTCCCCCTAGCTCCTTAGTTAGGTTTCAATTGTATTTCCCTGGGTTGATTTACTGTTGATTAGACTGCGGAAGATCCGGCAGTAGCTTGGAATCTCTTAAGCTGACCAAGCCCTCTCAGTCTAACTACCCGGCAGACGACTAGTCTTCACCGGGATAGAAAGCTGAAGCAATAAGAACAGAACTCCACTACTGGAATTGGATTCCAGTACAAAGCAGTAAACTGACTAACTCTCGTATAGCCAATCTCCTACTACCGAATGATGAGACTCTAGCAACCTAATCAGATTCTATCTATCTCAGATTGCAGCAGGAATCAGGAAAAGTTGATAAGTCTTCAATTGACTCAATACACATGCATCATTCGATTAAAATCAAACAGTAATATCATCCTAAGTCATTACAATCAATCCCTAACACATAGAACTAGGGTTCTTCATCCCCAAGTGAGAAAGGGGTTCTACTCCATAGAGAGAGAGAGAGGAAAACAAGGTACAAAGCAGTCATACTCATTACAATGGGAAGAATCTGCTCTGGGATGATGATTTCCACTCCTATGACGATCTCCAAGCTTGATTTGATGAAACCCAGCTCCAAGATAGCTTCTAGGATGTGTTCTTCGTACTTTCTCTCTCTAGGGCTCAGTTTTTGCTCAAAAAGTCCGATCCCCTCTCTTTTGGCTCGAAATTGGCTGAAAAACCAAGATTTCCCGACTCACACGGGCAGCCCGCACGGCCGTGTGGCTCACCCAGTTGCCCGTGTGAGTCAAAACGCGGCGTATCAATTAGTTTGATCTTCAGGCTTCCCACACGGCCAGGGTCGCATGGCCGTGTGGGATTTCCATCCTGCCCGTGTTTGCTCTCGGCGAAAACCACACGGCCACAAATGTGAGTTGCACGGCCGTGTGATGTCCAGGAATGCCCGTGCAACTTCCTTAGCACCTCGCCACGCGTCCGATCTTCGTCCAATCGACCCCATACTCGCTCCCAAGCCTCTATTCACGTACTAGGACCTGAAATATCACAAACAAGCACAACCTAGCATGAAATCGGCCTAAAACACGAGAATCAACACCTCAAACGGTGTAAGAACAACGGTAAAACCATGTGTAATTAACGGTCTATCAATGCCCCTGTCCCAAAACTTTGAAGATCATCTCGCACCATCAAAGAGAAGGCTCATCTTTGCCATTATGGTTTTGTTGCATTCTCCACTTCACAACCCATTTTCATTCCTGGTACGTATGAGCAGGCTTGTTGTCTTGATCCAAGGGAGGATTCCATGCTAGTCAAAGTGGATGATTTGGAGGCAAATCATACTTCGAATCTTGTCCCTCGACAACCTGACATTCTAATTATTGGTACTAAGTGGGTCTACAATATTAAGTTTTATCCTGATGGCTTGTTGGAACGTTTCAAGGCACGAGTGGTTTCTAAGGCTTTAAACTGCAATATGGGTCAATTACGAAGAAACCTTTGCTCCGGGGCCTAAGATGCAAACCATTCATAGTCTGCTGGTGGCTGTTGCCATGAAAGGTTGGCATTTGCTAGATCTGGATGTTAAGAACCCTTTCTTCATGGGGATCTTAAGGAAACGGTCTATATGGAGTGACCTCGGTGATGCACAAAGGGTGATAGCTCTATGGTGTGTTTACTTCGTCGCTCGCTCTATGACTTGAAGCAAGCTCCCCGCACATGGTTTGAGAAATTTCAAACTACTATTTTTTCGGGATGGTTTTGTTCAGAGTAAGAATGCCCATCCCTCTTTCTTCGTACGACTTCACATGGTATTACAGTTCTTCATGTATGTGGACGACATGGTGTTGAGTGATGATGATCAGGGTGGAATTCGGTTCCTTCCTGAGACTCTGCGACAGACATTTAATCTTAAGGAGGTGGGACACTTATCTTACTTTTTGGGCTTGGAGATTGATCAATCAGCGGCTAGTATAAATGTGAGTCAGCATAAGTATATCGTTGATCTTCTCGAAGAGGCCTAAATGGATGAATGTGACCTTATTGTACCCCTATGGAACAAAATTTAAAACTACATCAGTATTATGGTGACTTATGATCTGATGGAACTACTTTCGCAGTGTTGTTGGGAGTCTCATTTACCTTGCCCATACTCGTCGCGATATCACTTGTGTTGTACAGGTTGTGAGTCATATATGTATGCTCCTCGAACTAAGTCCTTCTATGAATCTGAGGCCAAGAAATCCAACAATCGATCGTGGGATGTCAAGAAATTAAAGGCTAGTGAGGTGAAACTGGAGTGGCGGCTCATCCACCATGTGTTTGCTAGGTCTGTGGGTGGAGAGAATCGGAGCAAAGGTAACTTGACTGCCCGAGACGTCAACTTCTTCCACAGCAATCATCTACCTCAATATCTTCACCTCGGTTTGGCCATCTTGTATATCTTCAAGTGTTATGAGACGGACCATCGATCATTGCCCTTCATGAAGGAGTTTTTGTCAATCGTCTAGCCAAGTATTTCCAAGTCGACTTCGAGGCCGTGCAATTTTGGTTGGATAGTAGGACCACTCCAATATCCTTTGACATCTTGAAGTTGAGAATCAAAGTGTTGCATATGAATGACTATGACATTTGGGGAGTACGGAGACTTCCATTTCCAACCACTAACACTTTAGGCATGGAGGGTATCTTGTTCCGCCTTCCAAAAGCTACGGCAGTAAGAGGACGAAGAGGACTAGTCAACAAGTGGAAAGCATGTATGAGGGATGAGAGGCCCCTCCGTCCACTTCCCATCCGGTTCCACCACCATTCAACAATGCAAGGGATTACCGAGTCAAAGCAATGATAGAGCTGATCCTTCACAATCAAAGGAGGGAGAAGGAAGCGTGACTCCACATCATGGCGTGCATCCATTCTATAATGAAGAAGATGGATATTCCGATTGAAGATGTCTTGCATCAACTTGCTCGCTCCTCTTCCCTTTCACCACTCTAAGACGAAGAAGAAGGACCCTCCAAAAAGGATTGAGTACTAGGCATCCAAGGCCTAAGTTCTATTTTTTTTTCTTTTTCTTTGCTCTTCTTTCTTTTATTTAAGACAATGTTTAATTATTGATTTATTTTCGTTTTACTTTTCGTACTTTAAACATTCTAGTACTAGTAGTAATCGTACTTGTATACTTACCGTACCTATAACTCTTAATCGTCTTCCTCTCTTTCTTATGCACTTCATCATTCAAAACCACCAGGAAGAAAAAGACCTACACTTGTGTACCTTCACCAACGCACAACCCAACCTACGATAACCTTCATGATCTTTTCTTTTGAAACTCCCACATTGGGGACAATGTGTTGCTCAAGTGGGGGGGGGGGGGTGTGTGAATGTTATAATGATTATCATGATTGATTGAACCATTAATTGCTAGTATCCTCCCTTGTTTATGAATGCAAGATGTTGATGAATATTTATGGGAGTGTATGCTAGCAATTGTGTGTGTTTGTAGTGTTGAATGGTCAAATGATAGTATTTTGGAACCTTGAATGCATTATCCAAATTTTTTCAAATTTGAGGGTTCCAAAACACCTTGTTCCTTGAAACTACCTAGTCGATATGCTTTGAAAGATAGATGATTGATGTGTTGTGCTCTCTAGGGGATATTTGAATTATTAGAGTTTGGTGTATGAAGGTTTTACTATCTTCTTGACTTCTTCCTCTTTGGTGGGTTGATAATGTTTGCTATTTTAGGGAGAACATGTGTGGGATTCTCTATTATTTTTTAACTACAAACTTTTACAATTTTGTGCTTATTGTCGAAAAAAGGAAAACAAATCTTTTAAAAATGAGGTTCTCACCCGAGAGGCAACCGATCCTCACGGTTCGGAGTGCCCTTAGATGATATGTTTAGGGATCGGATAGCTTTACCGCGTCCCGACCACCTTTCACTACTTACCATCCCCCAAACATCTTTCCTCCTCACAGAATCGTACGATAAGGTATAAAGTACCTTTTAGCGATTCATTAAACCTCAAAGCTCTTATTTGTACTCAACATGTGTGGCAACCCAATGTGGAGTGCCGGTTGGGAAGTGGTGCTCGGGCTAAGAGGAATCCGCCCATCAACTTCCCTACATGCGACCTTGAAAGGGAAGGCTATGATCCATCCGCTCTTTGTCATGAGAGAGAGATGCTTATGTGGAAAAGAGTTTGCAAAAGTTTGGTGTGAGGCGCTTTAGTGTTGAAAAATGAGACCAATAAACGACAACTCCTAATTGAAATAAAGAATAAAGAGCACTCTCTAAAGTTTTTGTGCTTAACTGTTGATTGAGAAGTCACTCGGTGCACACCTTGATTGTTCGTCCTAAGGTAGTAAGTATTGTCCTCACCCAAGAGTTTGTATGTGCATAGTGAGATCATAGTTACATCCATTCGTCTCTGTTTACTCTTCTTTATGCAATGAAGAATTAGAGTGCATCCCACCTTTATTTGTTTATCAAGTTGCATTGGTTTGAGTAGGTTTACTTGGGGACAAGCAAACGCCTAAGTGTAGGGAGTTTGATAACACCTAAATTTGGTTTATTTAGCCTTTTATTTAGGTTTGCTTTGTACCAGTTCATGTGTATAATCGTTTGAATATCTTCGATTGCATCCCTATTTCGTTCCAATTTGATTATGATGTGATTTTAGGGTGATTTAGACAATACATGCAATTAGGTACGAAAAAGGACACAAGTGTAGCAAAAGGGGTTGGAGAGGGAGATCACGGTCTAGAACACAGACTGCGAAATCAAGGAGAAAATCGCATCCTCAGGACCTAAGTTCACGGCCGCGAATCTGGAGGCTTTGGGAGTGAACTTCGTGAAGAAGCCAGCCAAGGAGAAACAGAGAGTTTCCCCAGTCTGATCACGGGCACAGTTCACACTGACCACGAGGAAGTTTGCGGCTGCGAAGTCAGCCCACAAATTGAAGGCCAAAATAGCGACGTTGACAGATTGCGGTCTGCTGCGAAGAAGATCACGACCGCAACCCTGTCTGGCAGTGAACTTGCCCTTCCTCTGAAGGCTATAAATAGAAGACCCATTTCCCCCATTTGAAAGAGCTGATTTTAAGATAGAAATTTCTGGTTAGAGAGAGAAGAGAGAGAAACTGAAGGAAGAGGAGGAGGAGCTAGAAGAAATGAGTCATCTTCTTCAATACAAGTCTTCCCCAATTTTTTCTATGTATCTTATTCTCTCCTTTATGGATTAGTCCTCTAAGGTACTGGGAGTTCTAAACCCCAATCCCTAGTTTTAGGGCTACTATGTAATGAATGAATATTTTAGGGTTTTAATCATGGTAAAGGAAACCGTACCGGACATCATACCGGATTCCTTTCTGGTATGGTATTTTGTGGTACGACCGTGGTTCAACCGTTTTGTACCGGTAAATACCGTTTTTCACTATTGATAGAGAAATGAAATGCGATAGTATAGAAAATATAATCCATCAAAAAAAGAACCAAATAGAGCATTATACAACCATTCCTTACCTAATTAATCAGATTAATTGACTATCGCTGGCTTTGGGATGGAAAAGAGCTCGACCTATTCCTCTGATGCGCGTTCTTGAGCAGGGGAGGGAGACTCCAGCAGGTATCGGCGCGGCGTTCTTGAGCAGGGTAGGGAGACTCAAGCATGGTCGTCGCGGCTGAGGAGGAGAGAAAGGAGCGGCGGGGTGGAGCAGGGACGACTCGACTCGCCGGTCGTGGGTCGCCAGATAAGAAGAGAAGAGGAACGGCGGAGGAGCGGAGCGGGGATCGGCTCGACCTTTCGCCGTCGCGGGTTGCTTCTTTCCTCTCGCCGGTCGCAGGCTGCCATTCACTAGAGGGAGTGGAGAAGAGGAGCGGCGGGGATGGGGAACAGGGGAAGAAGGAAACGACGTTTGGATTAGGGTTTTGTGTTTTGGCGCTGTTGAATGCCGATTTTTCTTTTTTTTTTTAATTTTAGTGCTTAAACGGCAACGTATTCTTTCAATAAGGCTACCGCCGGTAGACCAAAACCGGGCGGTTTTTCTTTTTTTACCGGTCAAACCGAAAAAACTGGCCGGCACGGTAAAATCAGCACAATCAACCCACCGTACCGCTTTTGGTCCAATTTCCGGTTGAACTGGCCGGTACGATCCGGTTTCCTGGTCTATGGTTTTAATGAATGAATGTGTTTATCTAGTTGATTTCATTGTTTGTCTACCTTTGATTGTGTTTGGGTAAGTCGCCCTAATCTTCACTACTAGCTACTTGAGCTTCTACGTTGAGTTTGGAGTTTTAGGGTTAGACGGGTATTCGCCATTAAGCAAATTAAGGTTATATGTATGAATATGATCTTATGGAGGACGAAGCAACCGTACCCCGGCCATAGGAATGCCTTCCTAGATAGAAACCGGGTTAAAACCTCGGTGTGGGCGGTGGGTAGTACCCATTAAAATGAGTTATGTTCTTAATGCCCATATATGATAGCCTAGATCGAAGTGAATGACATGGGTTTAGGGTAGGCGTACTCGAAGGCGTGTGGTTAACCAAGAAAGCCCAAGAAAAATAGCTCACTCAACACATTCGAGAAACCCTACTTATCTAGACATTGCATAACCTTTAAACCGATAGGCTAGATAACAACAACGTGGGAAGTAGGCTAGGTACCGCGACCCAAGTGAATACGACCTTGATTGTCACTATATGACAACGCCATTTTAGGTTAAACTTGGTCTAGGATGGGGTAATTATTGATAAGTGATAACCACGGACAATAATCTGCACGAAATGAATCGATCAGTGGGCAACGGGGGCGGGACTCTGTATCCGTCCCGTTTGAAATGGGTATCCAATCCCATTTGGAGAGTAAACTTTGTTCCACGTCCCAAAATCGTAGAGGTTTACGGGTACCCATTATCTTTACGGGACGGATAAAGGTACCCGCGGGTGACGCATTTTAAATACTTAAAATGACAAAAATATAATTAATCACCTCAAAGTACCAAGAATATCATTCATAATATGTTAAAGGATTCAATAATAAACAATTCCCTCACCTACTTTTGATCCTTAACAAGTCACCCACCCAGCACCACCCATTACTAGGGCTGGAAGTTTGGTACTGGTATTTGGGATATACCGAATACCGTACCGAATTTATCACTATTTGGTATTACCGAATACCGGCTTATTTTTTAGGGATTGGGATTCATTTTGGAGTGCTATTCGGTATTCGGGATTACGGGATTCGCTCGGTATATACCGAAATACCGAGAAATACCAAAATTAAAAATTAATGAAATATATCACACAAACTTTAGTAATTCCTCACTCTTCATAGCTTAGAAGCCCCCTATTCAACTCAATTTTGACTTTCCCGTTTAAATCACTCTCGTTTCTCACCTAATCTCTTGTTATTTTTATAACACCAAAAGCAAACAATAGTATAAGTCGTCTCTTAACCTCCAATTCGTCAAATTAAGGATTACCGATGACAAGAATTTGAGATGTCACCTCTCCTTCATTCTCATTATCCATATCCTAGTTCTAGTCAAACTCAAGACTCTTTGCTTAGTCTCTTTGCCCTAACTTAAACTTTTAAATCTAATTTATATATTTAATTATTACTTGCAAAGATAATTAATTTTGTATTCGATAATACCGATTGGGATACCGAAGTACCGATTGAGATACCGAAGTATTTAGGGACTGGGATTGGGATACCGAAATTATTTAGGGATTGGAATTGGGATTGACTTTAGAGTATAATTCGGTATTCGAGATTTCAGTATTTGGTATTGGAATACCGATACCATATCGATTTTCACCCCTACCCATTACCAACTTCTTCAACCCACTAAAGAACACTATCGGAAGCAAAATAAAGAACCAATATGAAGAAGAACTATTGACAAATTTTGTCGACCCACATCATCATGTTAATGAACACGAGACACGGAGAACCAATGGTAGTTTTTGCTTAAATAGACTGGTAGTACAAGTACCCATAATACTCAAACAGGTATTAATAGGTAATCTGTAGGTACCTAATATAGAAATTCTTAATTACGAATCTCAACCCATTAAAAAAATTATGAATAATTGAATACTCATAATTCAAAAAAGGTATGAATAACTCAATTACCCATTTCCGATTGCCCAATGACCCCAAATAGTTTGGGTCAATAGTGAAGACACTTTGATTAAATAAACAATACTACAATAGAGACAGAAAAATGGTCAAGCTCACCTCGATAGAAAAAAGCAATGTATCAAAACCAGAAATATGAAAAAGATTAGGGATCGAGATGCAAAACACCGAAATTGGAAAAAATAATGCATTGGTGAAGTACATCTCTTTGCTGGCACCTCTCCCTCCATCATCATCGCTCTCTCTCTCTCTCTCTCTCCCTCCATCTCCCTTTCCTTTTTTTTTATTTTTGCATCTCCGTTTAACCCTAGAAACCATGGCCATGGCCTGAGTGGGAGAGAGAGCTCAGCTCTGAAGCACCATTTCTGTCCTAATCCGTCGGATTGGGTCTTCGGAAAGGAAGATAAAAGGTAAGAGAAAGAAGAGCGGGGCGAGGAAACGATGCCGTCGCAAGCCGATCTGGACCGTCAGATCGAGCACTTGATGCAGTGCAAGCCGCTGACCGAGGCGGAAGTGAAGGCACTCTGCGAGCAGGCCAGAGCCGTACTCGTCGAGGAATGGAACGTGCAGCCGGTCAAGTGTCCGGTGACGGTCTGCGGCGACATCCACGGCCAGTTCCACGATCTTGTCGAGCTCTTCCGAATCGGCGGGAACGCTCCCGACACGAACTACCTATTCATGGGCGACTATGTAGGTGAGTCGATATCAATCGTTTCGTAGTTTTTATCAGTCAATAATGGAAGTGGAGCGGTGGAGATTGTGAGTCGGCAATTGAATTTTTGATTCAGCTTTCCTGCTGTACAGTGCGTATGTAGCTTTGAAATGCTTTCTTATCAATCAGGACTGTGTGTGTTTAATATGTCCTTAGAGGAATGACTTTATCCAATTTCGGCACCTGATAGTTGGGTAAATCACTGCTGCATATAATATTCTCAAGATCCATGTGTTGAGAAAAGTAAAACCTTGCAGACCATGTTCGGGTTTCCACTGCAAATAATGAATTACGGATGCATATGTTGGGAGGTATCATGTGCCAAGACTCTAGCTTTAAAAGCCCTGACTGTGTCAATTATCAGCTAGCAAGTTCGTGAGGCGAGGTTTTCTCTTTACATTGATAGCAAACCCACCGTATCAGTGTTAATCTGTATTTAAACTAATGATTGATAGAAGATGTGTAAGAGTGATAGGCAAGCGCTACAATAAAAATTGGGGAGCACGTGGTGAGAGTGATAGGAAGTGGATCACTTGGTTAATGAAGTTGACAAACTTGCATCTGGAAAAGTATAAGTGCTGCCGAAATACGTGTTGCAACTTGATAGAACCTGACAAGTAGGAAATCTATGGCTGGTAAAGGTCAGCGATTTCCACGGGAGTAGTCGTCAGTCATATGGATTCTTGATGACAGCAATCTCAATTTGCCTCTCACACTTTTGGTATTATCACTGTATTTCTTTTATCCCACTCTTCCTTGTCTGCGATGGTCTCTGAATGCTGAAAAATTGAATGCTGATTGGTTAATTATGAAGAGTAGAAGATTCTAACTGGGGCTTCAGTTGACATGGATGATGGTTGGACCTTGTAATACCAAGTTCTAGTTTCTATTTGTCGTTCCTACACCGGGAAGTAATTGGTTCGCAAATAGGTAATTCATACATATCAGCTTCTAGCTGTGCGATGTATGTTCTTTTGTTGATGTACCACGTTCCTTGTCGAGTTACTACTCCTTTGATTTAATTTGTCATGTAACCAACTTTTTTACTAGCAGCCTATGCTACTGTTGCATGGCAACATTTTCCAGAGTCACTAAGTTATTGTTGAATGGAATAACCAGTTCCTTCCAAATAGTCATGCAGATTGAGTGCATAACCTATGCACTTTGATCATGCTCATAGGCCATGTTAATTGTCACTTCACCTTCGTACAAGCTTATGGCTCTCAGTTTCATATCTTATAGCTGCAATAGACTGTAATTTGTTTGCTTAACCAATGGTATTTTCTTGCTACTTTGTAGATCGAGGATATTATTCAGTGGAAACTGTTACCCTTTTAGTCGCATTGAAAGTCCGATATAGAGATAGGATTACAATTCTAAGAGGAAATCACGAAAGCCGTCAAATTACTCAAGTGTAAGATCTTTATACTCAGACTGATTATTTGCAAGAGTTGTCTTATTTTTGTTAATACATTCACTCTTCCTATCTGTACTGTAATGTTGTCTATATTATTACTCAATTATTCTCAGCTCCCGGTAATGGAATAGTGCAAGTACCTCTCTAAGTTGACAACTTCTGCCACAAGATTATATTCTATGTTTGCTTGAATGAAATTTGTTTTTAGTGAGTTTGTGAGGACCCACTTAAACATAATGGTTATTACACTTCATCTTCCATATCTATGGTTTTGTTTGCCAGAAGATTTGCACAAAATTCACTAAATGATGGGAATTTTATGCATATCTTCTTAAACCTATTGCTTTGTAGTGTGCTCTAAGGTAGCCAATTGTACATGGTTTCAATTCACCTTACCTATAATGGGTATGTGTAAATCATTATCTGACTTAATGAACTTTCTGGTCTTCCGGCTGATATCATGAGATTCTGGTATTTTCAGGTATGGATTTTATGATGAGTGCTTAAGAAAATATGGAAATGCCAATGTGTGGAAACATTTTACTGATCTCTTTGATTATCTCCCACTCACGGCTCTGATTGAGAGTCAGGTAGATAAGTTCACACTTTCTTCTGTACCTATGTCTGGTATATGTAATACGTTATCACAAACATCTATTCCTCTCTAGGTCTTCTGCTTGCATGGTGGACTTTCCCCTTCACTTGACACACTAGACAACATTCGCTCCCTCGACCGTATCCAAGAGGTAGACTGCTATTTGATCATTTGCTTATTTTTTTTATGTTTTTTATTTTTTCAGTTCAACATTTTCTCCAGGAGTAGTTTTGATATAGTAATGAAAGATAGTCAATATGAAAGAGATCATTCTCAAGTGGTTTTTAATTGGCTACTGCTTTGGGATCTTGTGGCTGTTTAGGTACCGCACGAGGGTCCTATGTGTGACCTCCTATGGTCCGACCCAGATGACCGATGTGGGTGGGGCATTTCTCCTCGTGGTGCTGGATACACCTTCGGACAAGATATCTCTCAACAGTTCAACCATACTAACGGCCTCACTCTCATCTCTAGAGCTCACCAACTCGTAATGGAAGGTTACAATTGGTCCCAGGTTAGTACATTGGAAATCAGGAATCAGCTTTCACGTTTTCAACTCTTGGCTTGCCTTAGTTTTGCTCTCTACTTTGAACACTTCAATAGGACAAGAACGTGGTGACAGTTTTCAGTGCCCCGAATTACTGCTACCGGTGTGGGAACATGGCGGCCATACTCGAGATTGGAGAGAATATGGAGCAGAACTTCCTGCAATTTGACCCAGCTCCACGCCAGATTGAACCCGAGACTACGCGCAGAACTCCGGATTATTTTTTGTAATTTGCATAGCTGCCTCCTCGTCTTCTTTCCTCCAGAGTGGGATCTTCTTCTGCAATTTTCTAATCAACCTGCCTGCCTATTATGTTCTTTGTAGATGCATCGTCATACAGAATAGAGAAGAAATTTTGGGTGTTTACTTGGGAATTGGGGGAACCTGGAAAAGAGATGTATTGCTGGGTGTTGTCATTCATTCCTTTTGGGGTATTGTTCAACTACTACTTCTACTGTTTTCTGCATTCGTAAGAGTTAATAGGTTGTGTTTACTCTGTCCAGATGTTAATTTTTTCTTCCACGTCAGTCTTGTATCTTAGAAAGTTAAAGAGGCAACAACTATATAACATGGTAATTTTTCCCGTTGGGTGATTAACTATTTCGTTTTTTAAATGGTGTCGAGAATAGTTTCTCTATTCTAGTGGTATGTTTGTAGAAAACCAGGCTGCAAATGGGCCAAGCTGAGTCGAGTTTTACCCCAGTTTGAGCTTGACTCATTAACAAGTGAGCTGAGGTAGAGGTCGAGCCATTTATTAAAGAGCCGAGTCGAGTTTGAGCTAGGCTTGTTTACTAAATTTTTACATCGCATTTGATACATTCATATTGTATGTCGTATATGGTACATGTGATTGATGTAACGATTAAAAAATAATCACATGTTCAACATTAATTAATCTTATATTATAATTTGTAGGTGTCGTATTGTCTAGTTAATAAATTTCAATTAGGGTAAATGCCACATTTGGTCACTGAGATTACTAAATCGTTTCATGTTTAATCACTAGAAAAAATTAATATCAATTTTGGTCACTTGAATTACTGAAACGTGTCAGCTTTAGTCATTCTCTTGTTAGCCTCCGTCCAACTCTGGTCACTCGAATTATTGAACACATTTAGTCACTCGAATTACTAAAACATGTCACATTTAGCCACTCTACTCAGTGACCAAATGTGTCATTTACCCATTCTAACTAGTTCATATCATGTTATTTCATAGTATAGAAACAATTTTGTACATAATTTCTTTATAGAATTAAAAATAAGGCATGTTTTTTTGCATGTTAAACTTCACATGATGTGAGATATATAATTTAACAATCCTATGAATTATGAAAGTCCAAATTAGATCGGTTCATCCATAAATCGGTGATCAAGTTGGCCCTCAAGCCACAATGTTGAGACATCTCATGAGCTCTAAATGAGTCAACTCACGAATTGAGCTCAACAAGCCACCGAGTTGAGCTAGCTCACGAGCTTCGTGAGCTGAACAAAGTTAAACTCAAACTTGGCTCGTTAGTAAACGAGTCGAGTTTCGAAA